CGGCGCCCCCCCCCCCCCCCCCCCCCCCTCTTCTTCTTTATTTATTTATTTATTATTTTTTAACCTCATATTATTTCTTGTTTTTTGCTTTAATTGCTGGACAGCCTTTAAATTCCCATCGAAGGGACATCATGCATTAATTTTTGTTTAAATTTCATGATATTATATGCATAAACTTCTGCTGGATTCAGGTTTTATCACCAAAAGAATATGCTGTGTGATTTTCTCAAGGTTTTTGATTTTGCAGTTTGAATTATTAGAGAGTTCTTCGGTTGATGATGACCTTGCCAACTTAAAGAAAGAATTATCCGGAAGCACAAAGGTATCTCATTGTCCATTCGTTATATATTACGTTTTCTTCTCTCCCACTAAAAGTAATTTTTTCATTTGTTTATGGTTATGACTTCTTATGGAGACAACGCATGACTATTCTATTCAGTTTTCCCCGGCAGTGACTTCAAAACAATTTATTTCTTTTATTGCGTGGCAAATTTACATTAGAAAGTCTCCTCTTCAAGATATGTTGTAACTGGGTTATGTTAGATTTCCTTCAATCGTAAGCCATAGTTACTAAAAAATGTCACCATTTACTTAAAACAGAAGGGAGAGCTTCCGGCAGGGAGAACACGTGTTGCCAGTACAAGCTCATCATTAAAGTTTCAAGATCCTGAAATCGAAAATGAGCTGAATGAACTGAGGCAAAAAGCCAAAGAATACTAGTAAGGATTCTTGACTTCGAAAATCTGGTTTTCTGCATGAGAACAAGAAGGTTTATGCTTTTCAGCTGCGACCTTCGATTAAGGATTAAAGAACACGATGGAATTCATATCATTCGTCTTCATGTACATGGTTAAAACTGCATTGCAGTGTAGAGTTTGTATATTTACTACATGCTCTTGATGATTAGGTAACTTGTAAGCTTCTATACAAATTTTATTTGCTCCTAGACTCGTTTACGAGTCATTCTATCTTTATTATATACAGTATTATGCATTGGCTCCAAATTTTTTTTTTATTGCGGCTTACACTTTGCACTTTGTATTCCCAACTTTTGTTTCTTTGTATATTGTATAATTGTCTTAAACGCGATGGAGATTCCTACTGGCCATTTTCGTTTAAATATTGTTAAAGGTTGTGGTGAAAGTAATGGTGAAAATTTTGATAGGATATTTTCCGAAATGAGTTATGGTCAAAGAACACATCGTTTTAGACCCTTTTTAATTGTTATGAGAAAACTATGTTTTGCTCAATTTTATTCTTTATTCCTATCTTGCCAATCACCCCATTTTCTCTTTAAAATTGCCACCCCTTTCCATTGGTTCCGCAACTTTTTTATTGCAATAAAGATCGTTATTCTTCATTTATTGTCTCTTACAACATTTTTTTTTGCTTATTCTTATCCTCAACTTTTCAATATTTAGTACATCTTGTTCCTAATGATGATTTCGGTCCAAAAAGTGTGTTAAGAAGGAATAGAAAGACTTATTCAACCCTCATATTTTTAAATAGTAGTCAAAATTGAATGTGTATTGCACGTTATTTTAAAATATTTTATAAGTATTGTAAAAGTAACATATAATATCAATTTGTTGAGAGAATTTGATGAGTTTCAAACAAATAAAAATAAAATAAAATTTAGGATAGAAGTTTAGGAGATGAAAAATTGTACTTTCAAAATTCTATTTATATGATTCTTTTTTTTTTTTTTTTCTTTTTTTGGATAAAATATGAGCAACATCTTTTATATTACATTTGATACATAAGAATCAATTGCTAATACAAGAACTTAAATACATTGAAAGTTTTAGATATATGAATAGAAATAAATTTATTTATAACAACTCTAAATTCATGTGGATTAAAATTCATCAAGTCGAGAGTCATTGAGTCTAGATTAATGTGAGTGTTAATTAATTGAGAATTAATAATACAAAATTCATACACGACAAAAATAATGTAATATTTATTATATATTGAAAAATGAGAAATAAGGTATTATTGAAATAATTGAATTGTAGAGTGATAAAATTGTCCAAAAAAAAAAAAAAAAGATTCTTACTTGACGTGATATTTAATATACGAAACGTAAGATATTATTGAAATAATTGAATTATAGTAGAATTAAAATCGTCAAAAAAATAATTCTCATTTGATGTGATATTTAATATATTATAAATGTAAAACAATAACAAATACAAGATTGTGACAGCATGGTCTTACATTTTTAAGCATGTTAACAAAATACTTAAATAAGAGAGTTATGTTATAAGTACAGAGTTTTTGTACAGGAAACTTTTCATAGACACAGGTGTCGAAACATCATTTAAAGATGGAAAAAAACATAAAATATAGACGGACAGGATTCTTCCATTTCAAAATCCTATCTGAATTCTGTAATTTTTCCCTTTACTCAGGGAAAAATCCTAAATAGAAATCATCATCATGTACTAGATGCGTTGAGTACTTGAAGATTAAAGATAAGAATATGATATAAAAAAATGAAAAAAAAAAAAAGTAGAAAGAAAGAAAGAACATAATTATGACAATAAGCAAATATTGGAGACTTTTAGTACAATTAAAAAGTGGTGAAATAAAAAGATAGAGAAAAATGTGATAGCAATAAATATAGTCACACAAATTAAAATTCATCTCAATTTTGATGTATACAATAAGAGACCAGAAAAATATATAGTAGGAATTATTCGACAAGTATCAAAAAATAAAGTTGCACAGTAAATATTTTCCTCGGTTAGAAAATTCGAGTACCCATTTTTTTTTTTTTAATTTTTCACAGGAAATATCTCTCATTCAACATTGTCGCCAACAAATTAACGTGTCAAATATGGCTCGATAAGAATGTCATATAGGACTATACGATTGGATACATTGTAAGGCACTTCTTGAATTAATATTCGAGTAGAAATTCTCAAATTATGACTTCCAATTACACTAAAATTATATTTACACCACATTTTGTTATTAGTAGCACCTTATTTTAATTTCACTTAAAAGTTCTAAATCTTTACTCATTGTAAATTTTTTGTCCATACTTCTTTCTTGCCAAATTTTTATCTTCAACATTATATTAATTTGTAAATCTTGTCTTTGATAATTATTTCAGTTAAAATATTTTTTTTTGGTGCGTGCTTTAAAAAGAAGAAAAAATATTTTGTCACACTTTTGCATTTATTATTTTAAAAATATGATTCAAAAATAAGTTATTTTAAGTTTCCGAACAGACTTATTTGACACAAACCATCATAAGATCTAAGATGGGTTAATTAGTAAAATGTTGAAGATAAAAATGCATAAAACATAAATCTCAAACCGCCTTCTCTATGCGCAATGGCAAATCCAGGATTGGATGTCAATTAGGGCGGCCGTTAACTGTCGACACTTACAATCGTAATAGTGAGATTGTTTATTAATATTTTTGATACTAATGAGGTTGTTAAATCCAATGATCCTTAGTAACCAAGGATCCGAAGGAGCCAGCTTTTATAATTTTTGATACTATATTAACTATTAATTGTTTAATTATTAAATTGAGTTACTCGTCCATTATTTTAAGTTACACATGATTCACAAATTCTCCAATTTTCATAAATCATAAATAATCACAATTCGGATAATAAATCTCCAATCAAATGATCAATGTATATAATATATTACTTCTACTTCAAGTTCTAAAATTAAGATCATACTATTTCAAATTTATTGACAAAAAGGAAAAAAAAAGAAGAAGCATTATTATCAATAGAGTTAATTGTTCGAATGATCACTGAATTTAGGTCTATGTCTTTAATTGGTTACTAAAGTTTAAAATATGGAGTTTTGATCACTAAACTTAGGTTCATATCTTCTATTGCTCATTGAAATTTAAAATGTTGAGTTTTGACAACTAAACTAGAAAAATATTGTACATTATTTACTGATCTTTGAAAAATATTATACATTACTCACTGAACTTTAAAAAATGTTGTATATTACTTACTGTAAACTCGATATTTTTAAAAGTTCAACAGTTATGTTAGTGAATAACATACGACGTATTTCAAATTTTAGTGGTCAAAACTCGACATTTTAAATTTTAGTGAGCAATTTAAAACATGGACCTAAATTTATTGAGTAATCGAAAACATTGACTTAAATTCAGTGATAAAATTAGACATTTTAAACTTCAATGATCAATAAAAAACATGAACCAAAGTTCAGTGACCATTGGAACAATTAACTCTTATCAATATATCTTGAAGTTAGGATGCAATGCTTTGCAGCGTCCGCAACCAGGAGAATAAAAGTTCATTATATCCAATCTATCACCAGCATTTAACAAAGAATCAACAATTTTCTTGCGCAAAATGGATCTCCATCATGTTGGGCTTAAGGGTCTTTTTCCACCATCTTAGGGCTTTGCTAATACTTACTGATGCCTGTGCTTAAATCACAAAAAAAACCAACATGACGCAGTACGAAACAAGAAATTCAAGCAAAAATCTTAAGAACGTGAATTTTGAAAATTAAACTTATGAATTTTATTAATGAAAAATGAATAAAACAGCAAAATAACCCTTTATTTATAAGGATTTATATGAAAACTTAGTTTAAAATGACTAAAATTAATGAATATAAAGTTTAAACTAATTAAAATTGAAAAGAATCCAAAATAAACCAAATGACAGAAATAGCGTTAAAACTTTAAAAAGTAGTTTTCAAGTCGAATGACCGAAATCTATCGTACATTATGACAAAGCATGAGTATTACTCTTTTCTTCGTTTGCTTTTCAAAATGATATTATGGGCCCAAATTGGAATTTAGATGTTCTATCTATATTATTACTTTTTTCCCATTTTGATCCAATTCCTATTCAATCCATTCAACAATATGTTCTACATTAGAGGGTGTTTGGTAGGAATTTTTATGTGAAATTGCATTTTTGAATAGTAAATTGATGAGAAATGTGTGGTTGAAAAATAAGAAAAAATTTTTGATTTACGTATAATATTATTTTAATAAAGAATGTGTGCTTGAAAAGAAGAGAGAAAAAAATGCATTTTGATAAAAATGGGTGCCAAACAGTGCGTAAAAAGATCAATTTTTGAAACCCCAAATCAAAAACAAAATATTTATGAAGAAAAAATACAAGAACTCATATTGAAACTTTGACAGGAGCGTATCTTGGAGCTTTGACATTCAAATTGGTAACAATTTTCTGATCTAAAAATTTAAGTGGCTCTCCCACAAATTCTTTTTGATTTGGAATGTGCAAGCTGAAGATTCACAATTGAAGGAGAAATCCCAAAGCCATCCAGCTCTGTTCTTGTCAGTGGCAATTTCTCGAACAAGCCTCTGGATTCTGGGCAAGGTCGGCATGCCGTGTGACGGCACGAGTTGTGGCTGTGGGCTACTACAGGAGAACGGGAGGTAGAAGGTAAAACTTAGGAAGTGTATTCAATTGAAACTTTTAAATACTTCTATAAACTTTTTTAAATGTGTTGACTTTAGTGGAATTTATGGACTTTTAAGTGACTTTTATGAATTTGTTAAGAATTACTAAAAGTCTTATTTAGACTTTAATTAATGGTTTTTAAAGAGTTTTCATCTTGAAAATTCATTATATACCTAAAAAATTACAATTTTTCTTACTATTTAATTAATATTTTTGAGAACCATGATGCTTATGAAACTTTCTTGGGTATAGTCACTAATCATTGCCCAATCATTCAATTTGGCACAAATAAAATAATAAGAAATTTTTACACCAATTTCTAAGAACATGACCAATTTTTTTCATAAAATTAACATAAATTTTAATAATATAAATTATTCTTAACGAAAAAAATATATATATGTCGATTTATGATATTCTACGTTTTGAAACAATTGCTTATATTTTCAATTCAAAAATAATTATGTACATACAAAATAATCATAAATTGATTATAGCAAATGAATTGAAAATATATGAGAAGATTCTAAAATTGAAAGAAAAAAAAATTATTTTTGGGACTCTGAGATCTTTACAAATCTCATAGTATATGTCTATATGAAAGATTTTCTTTAAGATTTGCTATTTATATTTTTCACCAAAAAGTCTCTAGAAATCCAGCAAATAGAAAATTCTCCATAGGTATTATCTAATTGAATACCTCTTAATTTATAGAGACTTTTAAACAGTTCCATTTCAATGCCCCATGACTCTTAGAAACGTTTTAAAGTTTATAGAAGTCATAATTGAATACATTTAAAATTTTATAGATTTTTTAAAAGCCTCAATTGAATACGACTAAACTTTTTAAATCCTTAAAAAGTGTTTAACCATTAGAAGATGTGGTTTGGCACTTCAACCCTCTCTCTTTTGGAAAATGTGAGATGAATCGTATGAATCTGATAATTGATATGGTCCACGTGATAATGGCTATTAAATTTTGTTTCCTTTGCAAATTCTTCTTCGGCTTTTTGGATTCTCATTTTATTTATTTATTATTATTATTATTTTTTTCAAAAGAGAATCCAAGAATGCTATTCTGATCCCCGTTTTGCTTCCTCACTGCATTGCAACTGAGCTCAGTCGGCCACGCTTGTAAATTTGGACAGATCCAGTATGAGCGACAGTACCCCTCGCTAGGTGCTGGATCCGCCACTACCTATTTGTCCTCCGCTACCCTGCTCCACCCTCAGATGCTTTACCCCTTTTTGTCTGACTTCTACCTTTTTTGCTGTTTTTAAATCATTATGAAAGTGACACGGGCAAATGGCAAATTAAGGAAGCAAATTATATCAATGCGCTTGGACGGCAACAAACAAATCGGGGCCATGGTTGCTTCTTCACTGCAACTTCACTGCATTGCAACTGAGCTCAGTCGGCCACGCTTGTAAATTTGGACGGATCCAGTATGAGCGACAGTGCCCCCTCGCTAGGTGCTGGATCTGCCACTACCTATTCTCCTCCGCTACCCTGCTCCACCCTCAGACGCTTTACCCTTTTTGTCTGACTTCTCCCTTTTTTGCTGTTTTTAAATCATTATGAAAGTGACACGGGCAAAAAATGGCAAATTAAGGAAGCAAATTATATATCAATGCACTTGGATGGCAATAAACAAATCGGGGCCATGGCCAGGGTAGGGATGACCTTTCTTGTCCCTTTCCCAAATAGGATATTTTTCATGAAGCAGGACATGAATAAAAAATCTCAATTTATCGTCCCATTTAGTTAATTTATTAATTTTTAAACATGATTTAAATAAAAAAATGTGAATATTCATGAGTAAAATGTACCAATAAACCAACCAACAAAATCACTTGTTATAAATAACATTTTGTGGTTGCATCGAGACATAAATTTTGACTAATCTATCTAACATCGAACACTATAAAATGAAATGGTTGAATAATAGAAAATGATATTATTCAAGAATACACATTAAATGCTAAAATTATGCATTGAATTTTGGTAGTGGATTCATGATAAAAAAAAAAAAAAAAAAAAAAAAAAAAGAAATAATTTTATGGGAGGGCAGTGAATTTTGCAATCCCTACTTTCATCCTCAGAACGATACAATTTTATTATCATTTTATATATGTGTGTGTGTGTGTGTGTGTATAATTTTATTTTATTTTTTATTTTTTTGAGTAACAATACGTCCCATGACCAAAGCCCACAAGATTCAGATCCATACCCCGATGTGGTTTGTGCCAGGTTCAACCATATGCATTATACAAACTTCAACTAGGGATCGGTATTGATTCCAACTAGGTTTTCCTTTTTGCATTCCAAGCTATTTGAATCCAAGACCTCCCATAAAAGGTACCCAATTGAACGGACCAAAGTCCATATCAATGCCGTTGTAGACACTCCCATCCACAACAGTACATAATAAAAATTCAAGGAAATAAATTTTCACAAAATTGAACTTCAATTACATAAAGCACTTAATCTCTTTCACCTTATAACGACCAAATCCTCAAATCATAAGTATGTTGACCATAATAACAAAATTATGGTAGTCTTATCCATCCAAGATGATTCGAAGACATCTAAAACTCTAGAACGACTATGGAAAACAAATTATTCAGGACTCGTTCAATTCGATTTCTGACTAAAGTCTCATCCATGCAAAACCACCCAGTACTTGCAAGTAAATGTTTAATGCTGGTCTCAAAACAATTCCAAGGGAAACACCATGCTTTCATAATTACCGCTTTTCACTCCATTCACTCTATGGTTTGATCACAAAGAGAGGCTGTAGACAGTAAAAAGTCATGAAAGGACACTCATAAATACTCATAAATAGGCAGAGGAAAAATAGAGGCACTTGTTATATTAGGCAACAGTGATTAGTCCAGAGAACTCACGGTGTCAACACTGACGGGCTTGCCATCTTCTACAAGGATATCAACTACTGTTCCCGACTGATCAGCCTACATAGAGATGATGCGGGTCATAGTGAGATAAACAAATCAAATAATAGTCGAACTATGATGCTATTACATAATCACGCAAATTCAGCAATATATCATGTCTCTGTACATTAAAGAATAAATAAGGGAAGAACAGAAACTTTGAGTGGTGTGTATGGACATTTCTAGGAACATCAAGGAAAGAAAGGCGAAAACATGGTCACAGTCGATTTTTTTTATCAGAATATGTATTAATGTGGAAATCAACGCATTAATGCTAAGAAAACTTTCCAAAACCAGAACTTTAACATCGCATCACAAAAGAATATAACGATTATTGGAAAGAGATATCATTGCAGTTATGTCAATGATATTGACAGCTGGCACATCACAATAGGTTGTCCAATCATGCATTGATCAGCTTTCAGCCTAATAGTTGGTTCCAATGCCTCATTCAAAGACAACACATCAAATAAGAGTCATCAGACAAGATTTTAACAGATTCATTGCTATAATGCTTTCATCCATTCATCTATAGGTTTTGAGGTTTCAGATACCACTCGACCAAAATGTCAATGATTTCAAAGCTAGGGAGCATGGAGACTTACCCCAGACCAGAGTTATATGCGTTAGACATGTGGAGACTGGGAATATAAAGGGAACAGAATAAGTTTATCCTGAAGCTTTACGGATCCAATGTAATAGGTTCACAGAGAACAAAAATAGGAAAAAATGTTTAATCAAACTAGCAAAAAGAAAACGAAGAGTTAAGCGAGTGATCATCCAAGACTTGTGTAAACTGAAAAACTTGTTTGGCCACGTCAGATGTGCTTCATTAAACTCTGTCAAAAGAATATTCCAGAACCACAATCTTATTCATGTTTTTCTTATTTAAATTACAGTGGCAACTACCTTTCTTCTCTTATACTTCCAATTTTTTAAGAATAAAATTGATTTTGATACACAATTTTCTTCTTTTTTAGTCTGTCATTGCATATATGTTTGACAATTGACTTAAACAAAATTGGATGGTACATAACAAAATGTTTTACCATATCCATGGTCAAATGACCTGGTTTCCCCAGTGAAAATTTCCAAAATAGTGATCTCTTCTATATAACTCTTATTTTTCCCTGAAAATACCCTTACTTGTGAGTGATGCATCTCATGAGAATTCTTGGCCATTGCTTTGAGAGAAAAATCGAAACGTCTCTCAAATACTTCCATGATCAACTCACCTGATCGTTAAAATATCCATGACTTTGATTATGAGGGAATAATTTCTTTCAAGCCCCAATTTTTCAAAAAATGTAGTGCCCCATGTGCGCAATGATAAGTGTATTTTGTATACTTATTTGGGTCATTAAGTTAGAGTATTTATTGGTTATTTTAATGAATTATGGCTTAATTCTATATGTATTGTGTTTGTTAGATACAAATTGACATAAATGGCTAAATTAGAGAAAAGGTGTGAAAATGCTCAATTATAAGAGATTCAAAATCCAGAGACTAAATGTAAATACTCAAAAAAGTTGTGTTGGACCTTACGATAGATATTCGAGAGTGTTAGGGATCAATTGGATGAGAAAATAAGCCAAAGAGGTGAAATATAGTCAAAGTACTCTCACATATCAATTTTAAGCCGAAAAAATTATACTCCGGATTTTCAGTCTGACGTTATTTTTTGGCATAGCAAACGTTCGAAATGGAAAGTGATATTTCTAAAAGAATTGTAGCCTTTAAGTTAGCTTTCCAATGCACTATGAATTGCCTCAATTGAATATTAGGATAGCAAAAAATGACAAAAATATTGATTGCTCCTCGGGACATAACTAGGCACGCGCTTCACCACCCAACATAGGCGACTGAAGCCGTTTTCTGTTTTAGAGGCGCAAGCCCCAAAGAAATTTGGGGAAAAAATTTTGTTTTCTTTTCTTGATTTGGCAAGTTTTAGGATGATATCTTTGGCATATTTTATAACCTAAAAACATAGTTTTATCATTGACGAGAGGCTAACAAGAGGCGGAGAAGAGTTTTACAACAAAAATTGAAGATTCAAGGCTCGAATTGAAGTCAACTGTTGAAGAAATTGAGTTTTCAAGATCTTTTTCTAGTTATTTCATATGGGTGATATCTTTTCAATATATTTTGTATAATTAGAATATCATAATGCTAGGCTAAACTTCTTTTGTATTGTATGGATGATAAAACCATTGGTCATATGTTTTTGATTTAAATATTAAGTATTTTAGTGAATTCTTGTGTTTTAAAATTAATTATGCAAGTTTATTAAGTTATTTAATTGCTTAGCTACCAATTAAATAACTCGTTTTTTGTTGTAGTGTTGGGAGAATCACAATATGTTAGAATATTGCATAATTGACACACGGGGCAATAGGTGTTAGAAATAACATTTGCGATGTGTGCAATCTTGTTTGATAATCGAGTGGTTGAATGCATCTCTTTGCATATGAATTCAGACCAGAAACATGTTCGGATCGTGCTTAAGATAGAGATTTGGTTTATCTTGAGAAAGATGATTAAATAACATATGATTATCGATTGTCACGCACAGTTAAACAACACTAAACTACAAAATTCAAAAATTAGAAATAGATGCCAATAGGTAGATTCTATTTCGAATACACGCACTTCATAATTTGATAAAAATTGATCTTTTACATTACTAGTAGCTTAATTTAGGATAATTACAAAAACAATTCAACTCTTTTGTGTGACAAACATCGGATTTGATATTAACTAGTATGCTATATTTAATATTTATTTCTCGTGGGACAATAACTCAACTCATCATATTATTACTTCTCAACGATCTCTCAGCTTACAGGGTTGGTCCGAAAACACAGCATGTTTATGCCAATAGATTTAGAATGCAGGCATGAGAAATAATTCAGTGTGAGTCATGCATTGCCTTTATGGCAACTCATCTTTGTAATCTAACAAATTGAGCAGGGATATTTTCAGACCATAAACTAGCTTTTGCTTACAGCTATGACATCCTTCTTTTGCAACTTGAATAATATCAAACTTAAGCTTTGTTTGAGCCTCATATTTTGAAAGAACAGATATTGTAATAGTGATTGTTTTGAAGAATGTATGGTTAAAAAGTAGGAAAAATTTGACTTACGTACAAAATTATTTTATTGGAAGAATGCGGTTGAAAATGATTTTGGGAAAAATGAATTTTTAGAGAATGGGGCTCAAACAAGTGCTTAATAACAAAAAATAACATTTCTCAATAACTATACTCCACATTTAGTAGGATAATTCCATAATATAGAGAGGTTGTGCTAATAAAAAAATACATATATATATAAAAATGAGCAAGAAGAAACTTTGATTAGGATGTTTCAATTCTCAATTGCTAATGTATTGGAAATCAAACAGAAACACTATACCTTGTTAGGATATCGTTTATAAATAGTTTATAATTGGCCAAATCACTTCGTATCCACATATTTCGTGGGACCAGAAGTATTACCCACTTATCCACCTTTAATTTCTATATATTTGTACTTTAAACCATTAATAACAGCACCCAAGCATGCTTTATGTTACATCATTAAATTTTGGCAAGTTTGTTTTCTAACAAATTCTCATAAGATGATACTCCATTAAGCCCCCATTTGGTTTAGTTAAAAGTCAGATTTTTAGTATAATTTGATAAAAGTTGATGAAACATGTGGTTTAAAAGTTGATGAAAGTTGTGAATCTCATAAAATGTGTGGTTGAAAATAATTTTGAGGAAAAAAATGAGTTCTGAAAAAGGGGGACCACACTTAGGCTTTAGTATACTCAAAACACTATTCTTATAGTCATCAGACAGAAATTAGAAACATTATTTCAGATATCTGACTGGACAGTGAAACTCGTACACAGAAGATATCATTGATATGGTGCAAAACAGAAAAAGAAAAATTTAAGATTTCACTGCCTAAATATTTAGCAGTAATTAGCACGTGTAAATATTAAAAGCAATTGATTTTATTGGCCTAGTTGAACAAGAAAGAGCAAAGCGACAACTCAATGTAGAACCTCGAAAACAACTGCAGAATAGAAAAGAAAATTTACTTACTTCTATTTCATTCATCAACTTCATTGCCTCAATGATGCACAGAACCTGCCCCTTCAGTACTTTGTCTCCAACCTGCACAAAAATGCATATAGTAGGCCAAATGGAAACACGCGCGGGCGTGCAGATACAAACTTTTGTTATGCTGTCAACTATCTGTGCCCTATTAACATATGTGTAATTTAGCATTAATTTTTGATTGAGCTTTAACCAGAGGAATGAGAATGCACAACTTCAGAGGGTAAAGCAATCCTCACATTTTGTAACAAATTACATAATTATCATATAATACATATAAAGTCCTGCCTTCCTTATTTTCTATTATCGCATTTATGCCACTCACCTTCACAAATGGTGGTTCACCAGGTCCAGGACTTCGGTAGAATGTCCCTGCCATGGGGCACTTAAGTGGTGGAAGAGACGATTCGGATGCTTGAGCTTTAGAAGAAGGTGCTGGCGTTGGTGCAACAGAAGGTGCGGGAGTCGACAATGGAGAAGGTGCGGTGACCGGAGGCAGTACAGCAGGTTGAGCATGTGAATGCGCAGACGGAGGTGGAGGCAAAGCATCCTTTTTACGTATTAAAACTTCACGGTCAAGTTGTTTCAATTGAAGTTCCACGATATCCTTAGAATCGACTAACCTGTAAGACAGATGAATAAATGAACTCACTTGTTCAAGAATGGAAAGAGGCAATCAGAAGAATATGATGCTGAGTGTGCTTACTTGACAAGACTTGCAACTTGACTAAAAAACTGAGATATTGATTCTTCTGAGGCCAAAATTGTAGGTGGAGACAAAACTGAGTTCTTGACATCCTTGGCTTCTGCAGATGATACCTCTGATTTAGCAGGAGGGGTGGATGCATCATCTGCAGATCCATCCGCAGCAACCTTGAAGACAACAGAAGGCTCCTTAAACGTTTCTACAAAGGAAAGAAAAATTGGAAAAAAGGTTCCTCAAATGAAAACCACTGGGAAAATCTTACCTTGTTCAATTGAGCTCTCACCACAACAGAACAGTTCCAACCGGATTGCAAACATGAAAAATAATAATCCCTACGATTCTTTCAAGATATTAGAAGAATTCTTTCTAAATTTAACAAAAAGGGGGGGGGTGGGGGGGGGGGGGGGGGGGGTGTTGAGAACTAAAAAGTAAAAAACTGACTTTCCAAATGGAAACTACAATTAAAGAATTAAACAATGATTAATGAAATTATAAATTCATATTTGCTTGTTTTCTATTTCTCATGATTATACTTAGAGCCAGAACCTGCATCTCAAAAAAGCAAAGGAAAACCCAATCTGCATTGTATCTTCTTCTTTTTTTGTATTTCTTAAGTGGCATTAGAGGGGTTCATTTTATCATCTCTCAATGGTGGAAGAAATTTAATCTAGAAAGATATTGTTATTCTAAATTACAAATGTCATGCATCCACTTCTAATTTATAGATCTTCAAATACCATTTGTTGCCAGAGAAAATCTTCGTCAATTGTGAGGATTCACATCATTCTTAAACTTCCAAGTTTGTTGAGTGATGATCGAGAATGATCAAGTTATATTTTCCATCAAATTAAAAGAATAATGCATCTTGATATATTTGAAGACTTCATCAAACATTGGTTTGAGTGATCCATGTAACTTCACAGCATTTCTTCTTCAATCCCTCTTTTCTGGCATTAAAGCAAATGAATAACTAGCTATCTGTTCAAGAATTTCAGTCGCTTTGATTTTGGTTCTTGGAATAAAAGAAATCCAGAGAAAGGAAGACAAAAACACTAACACAACAACAGGGGAAAAAATTAAAGAAAGACAAGAGTCAAGTTATGTTCTAGGTCTCTTGTCCTAGTTCTAAATGCTGCAACTTCTCTAAAAAAATGGGTTCATCGCATTTCAATAATCCAATTCCCTTGTTCTCTTCCCTATTATCCAATTCTTTTAGCTTTATGGTTAGTTCATATATAAAATGGCTCAAAAAATCAATAATATGTTCTAGGCTACAAAGAAAATGCGATGAGAATTCTAAACAAAAAGGCAAGGCAAAGGGTGCCCCACCTCAGATAACACGAAACATATGCCTTGATGCAGTGTGCCTTACTAAATCAAGGCCTAAACCTTCACAAATGGAAATCAAAGCATAAATAGGCGAGGCATATGAGTGCCAAAAGGCATAAGCATGCTTTTCGAAACAATGGAGAAACCTAAATTGCATGAAAGAAAATCTGAATTAATTTTTTCCAGCTCGAACTAAATAACAACATAAACAAAATATAAAATATTTAAAAAAACACATCTCATACATTTAGGCCAAGACATGGACAAAGTCCAAGAAACTGAGATCGATCTCATAAATCAGATCACAAATTGCGCACAAAAATGAATTAAACAAACACGATTCTAATATTCTTTATCACAACAAATGAACAGAAAATCAAACAGGAGATTCAATTTCATCACCTTAGAGTAAAACCGGAGCTTGGGCTTGTGAGAGAGGCGAAATGTCCCCTTGGAGCTCGAGCGGAGGACATGGCGATGGCAGAGCGGCAAATAAGGGGATGATTTGAGTGCATTTTCAGTCGCCGATGCCGTAACTGCCCCAAACGCCGCCGCCATTGTTCACACCAAACACACTCCACGACACAAATATAAAGAGAGAAAGAATAGAGTGTGTCTGTGTGTGTGAGAGAGAGCGTGCGTGTGTGTGTTTGAGAGAGAGTATGCTTGGGGAATCCACAAGAGGAGAAGAGGGGGCCAAAGTAGCTGATGAAACCAAAGAGTTCGGAGATAAAACATGGGCTGTGCGTGAGTATGTCATACGGTGTCGTTTTTATTGTGCTAAAAGACTGTGATCCAGATCAGTCGATTTGTGGGATCCATTAGTCATGACAAGCCTGTGTGACGTGGTAGGTGGTGCATTGTGCAGTGGGGAAAGGAGCAATGAAATTTGTAGTATGAGTTGAGATTTGTTGAATGTTGATCAATTTTACGGTCTATTTTGATGTCAATTTAATTAATTATTGACATATCAATTTTTTGGGTTAGTAGTGAATCTAATGATATAAATTTGTGATAACATGTCAAGAATAAATTAAAAAAAATGCTCGGGTTCCGTTTCAGAGGCAAAGGTGGTAGATTCTCTACCCCGATTTTGATGGCGGGCCCCCCAAGTGCAGAAGATCAACGGCCGAGGTGTTTCCACCTTGGCCCTAGATTGGAGCTCGAGATTTAAACCCGAGTACTGTAGCACGAATGATAAATTAAATAGACAACAAAATTGACCAGCAGACCTCAACTCTTATTTCATATGACACCTTTTTATTTGAATTATTAGTTTGTTATTGAAGGCAATAAAATTATAGGCCTGTTTGGTAATGATTATAAGATTTATTTTTTGATCGTTAGAGAGAAAAACGGGTTTCACCAGTGAATGAAGAAATAAAAAATGATAGTTGAAATAGTAAAATAACGGTCAAAAAATTGATTTTTTGGTAAAAAATTACTTCCAAATGGGGGCTATATGAAATTAATGTTCGCAAATAATAAACTGATAAATAACATTACTTGTGAGGGAGGTAGTTAAGCCCCTGCTTGATTCCCATTACTTGAAAATGAAAATGGGGGGAATAGTATTTTTTAGAAAAATGACTGGTTGAAAAAGAAGGAATTTTTTTTTCAATTTACTTGTAATATTATTTTATAAAAGATTGTGTGATTGAGAATAGGAGAGAGAAAAATGGAATTTAATGTAATTTAATTTAATGGGGATCAAACATGGGCAAAGATAATGCTGTAAGATTTGATCTGCTCATCAATTCGGACAAGTCATGGGATTGCTGAGTTATATATTTGAATAATGATTGGTGTACATTATGGATACCATAATGGTGTCCATAATGTACACATGGTGTCCCCCTATTGGAGGGGTGCCGGGTGGGCCAGGCGCCCCTCCAATTGGGGGGCACCATGTGTGCATTATGGACACCATTATGGTGTCCATAATGTACACCAATCACAACCCTATATGTTTAGCTTCTATTTGGTGTGCAATAAAATTGTAATTTATTTTTCTATTTCTTCTTATCAATCATACACGTAATCTCAAAACTATTCTCTTTTTTTTTTTAACCACACATTTTTTTCTTAAAAAAAAATTATTCCAGCTATTAAAATTTTAAATAATGGAGCCAAACGGGGGCTATTGATTCATAAATTCAAATAAAAAAATATCTTTTTAAATGAAATATGTATTTTTTAAGTTTTTTTTTTTAAAATAAAATGGTGCATACATATTATTTTATGTTAGTGTTACTCTTAAAATCACATATCAATTTTTGAAATTTATTAAATAAATTTAAATGTTGAGACTTACCATACAATCATCTAAAGTTGCATAGTGATAAGCAATCAATTATGGGAAAAAACCACACATACCCTACTATTGAATGATATATTTATTAAATATTACTATATAATTAAAGAAAAAAATACCAAAAACACTGACCTTGAAATCTTCCATTTTAAGATTTGTATATGCAAATTCAAATTCATTTTCTTTTATGTCACATTTCCACATTATTGTTCCACATAAATAAAAGGCTAAAATAAGATTCAAATAAAGGAAATTGAAAAATACAGAAGTAGAGAAGAGAGAGACAACAGAGGACACACGATTTATCTTCTAATATAGTAGTCGAGCAATCACATGGTGCTTTGATTTTTTTATCCACTCTCGTGGCTTCTTTGTTTTCTCAAATCGTTGTTTTCCATATTGAAAGTAGTTGTCAGTTCTCTCTCGGTCATCCCGAATTATTAATTGTTCCCTTCACATAATGGTGATTTCAATGGATTTTGTGGCCAGAGTTGTGGATGTGAAACAAACTTCGGAGTTCAAATCACTAGTGTATTGTGGGAAGGCATTACTAGGAAGGTACATGTTACAACTCATCTTAATTAATAAAAAATCAAAAGTTGACTTGTCAAAACGACTAAAATTGAAGTAAATCATTTTATCGGGGTTTATTTTATTATGAAAAATATTTTGAGGGGTTTAAGATAGACAAAATTTAAAGTTTGGATTTATTTTTCTAATCTTGGAAGTTAAGGGTTTAATGTGGTTTTATATGAAGTTGGATGACTTCCTTTGCAATTCTTGGCATACTGATATACAAGTGGCACATGTTTAACCATTGTTTTCATTTTTCATTGACATATGCACAGAGAAATGAGGGCAGAAACTGGCAGAGAGAGAGAGAGAGAGAGAGAGAGAGAGAGAGAGAGAGAGTGATAAATATTTGAAGGTACGCAAAATACTTACATAGTAATGGATGATAGCTGATTTTAGAGATTGTGAACAATTTCCTATGTTCGAATGTTAGCAAAAATTCAACGTCATTAAGATGTATTTGAGGTATTTAAAAATATTATTACAAAAAGAAATGTATACTGGAAGATTCATGTTGAAATCAAAGTATATGAAATGGGTTTGTAAATTATAGCTTCAATCTTTAGAATTGTTGTAGTTATATGATATCAATCAATTAATTAAGGATTTGAGGTTCGCTTTCTCTATTATTTAAGAAATTTTAGGCTAGGTATTTAAAAATATTATTACAAAAAGAAATGTATACTGGAAGATTCATGTTGAAATCAAAGTATATGAAATGGGTTTGTAAATTATAGCTTCAATCTTTAGAATTGTTGTAGTTATATGATATCAATCAATTAATTAAGGATTTGAGGTTCGCTTTCTCTATTATTTAAGAAATTTTAGGCTTTTTTCGAGCAAGGCAATGAACTAGTGCTATTGTTGAAATTCTGCCCAAAAGTGCTATTGCTGTCAATGGTTTTGGTGACACTTTCCATTTACAAAAAATGGTGCCACATTTCAATAGTTTGGAAATACATTGCTGTTTTTTGTAATCTTTTTATTTTCTTGGATTTTTAGTATGAAAACCAAACTAGGTATTAAATATTGGGGATTAGGTGTTGAATAACTTATATAAAGACGGATATGTTATTAGTGATCCTAATTGGGATTATGACATTACATTGAAAATAAAAGACTCCACGTTCTTATTAGTAAATTATTATTTCCATGGTTGGAAAAATGCTTAAAGCACCTTAGTAATGAGATATGATTTTTTGGGAAGAGTGCGATATGTCATACTTAGTATTTGAATGTGAGAAGGCGACGAGAAGATTGAAGTCATGATCAATCTACAACTTGGTAGGTGGAAAAAGTTATTTTTCAGAAATAAGTATTTATTAAATTTATATTATATCAAAAAGTTAATTATTTTATATAGTTGGTTTGACAGCATGATTTTCAAAAATAAGTGAATCTTATAATCAGTTCTTTATTAGAGCTAAATTCAGTACAGATAAATCATTTCTTAGCATGTTATATTCGCATTACATATTTTAGTTTATCTAAAGTTATTTTTAAAACAACTAGAAAGTATCCAGATTATTTTACCTTAATCTGCACTGGTGTGAATGTGTTTCCACAGTGTATCACTCCATATGGTTATTTTACCCGCTCTGCATTGATGTGAATGTGTTTTTACAGTGTATGATCAGTTATGGTGATTTTACTCGCTTTACACTATAGTGAATGTGTTTCCATAGCGTATAATCAAATTATAGCATTTGGACAGCTTTGTGGCGTATAACCAGAATTTTAGAATTACAGAATTTCAAAATTTTATAATTTGCCGTATACATCGATACATAAATAAGGTTATTTGGGTACCTTTTTGATGTGATTTTTTAGCATTATACAGATTATAAGATTTCGGATTACATAATTTAGCTTATTTAATTTACAAAATAAAGATTTCAACTTATAATACCTGTTGACACACTAAAAGTGCAGCCCAAATCGAATAGCCCAAGGAATGAAGCCCAATTGAGGAATTCAGGATAAAGGCCCAGACGGGGTTATTAATGAACGCAGTGGAAGCCCACGAACACAGTAACATCATCGCCTAAACTTGCAAGAAATCCAAAATCTGGGCGAATGGAGTGCCTTACAGTCGCCCAGAGCGATGACCCTGTTCTCGCCCATACCTTCGAATCGCCCAGGATCTTAGCAAACATAAAATGTTATGGTTATCCAGAAATGCAATTATTGAAGCAGTTATTGAGTAATCTTATCACATTCCACGATTCAAGGAACCCAGTTGAAGGCGGTTGAACGACAAAGAGTATTGGCAACAGTTAGAGACGTCAGTTCCACGACAAGTTAGCCACCATAAAGAAAGTGGGTAGTTATAGAGCAATCAAGCAGTTTTCAAGCGATTTGTCACGAAAAAATCATCAAGGGAATATAAAAGGAAGAGAAGACATAGAGAAAAAGGACCTCGAATCAAACACTCTCAAACAGAGAATTCAATTTTTTTAGTTTAAACTTAAACATTTCTTTCAGTACTCGTGTGCTTGTGCCCCTTGGAGGCATTCTGTTTAGTTCCAATTGTAAATCATCACCAATAAAACACCACTTTTTGGGACTTTGTCTCAAGAAGTTTGTTCTTTACACAATCGTTAGATTCCTTTTTAATTATTAGCGACTACCCGCGCGAAACAATTTGGCACGCCCAGTGGGACCTTGGTGTTTGGTGTTGAAGATACAAAATGTGAAACAATATGCCTCACAAATCTGATAAGGAAGCAGCAAGTCAGGGAGGAGTCCAGTCTGTGATCGAGCGATATGAGGAGCAGCATAGCTCTCCACGAACAGAGGGACAGAGTCAGAGCAGTCACAGTCGTTACGAACCAATGACAGAGTTGAGTTCTCGAACCATGCGTGCATTACTTGGA